ACTAAACCAGTTTTATTAAGTAAATATTTGTGTCGCTAAAGTTTCGTCGGAACGAAGTTACGGAAAAATCAATTAACAAAAGGAGACGTAACAATAATTTATATTAAAATGTTATTGTTGTTTATTATTAAGCACAAAGCTACACAAAAGGCTATCCGTGCTCTGCCCACCACGGGTATCGAAACCCGGATTCTAGCGTTGTAAGTCCACAGACATATCGCTGTGCCACTGGGGGGGGGGGGGGCAGAGCGAAAATGTTATTAAACTAAATTAGTAAAATATATACGAGTGATACAGACCATTTTTAACAATTGTTAGGTAACTTATGGAAGTTTCGTATTTTCTTATTACTTAAAATACAATACAAAATACAATCTGGTACTGACTAAAGCTATGTCGAACAATAAGAAGAAACTCTTTCATTTTTTTTTTACTCTTAATTAATTAAACATGAAAAAATGCAATTACTACACTTTTTTTGAAAAGTTCAGACTTGGCCCTATCTTCCTGTGGTTGTGAGACAGCGAATTCTACTTTCAATTTATTATGGTTTTGTTAACCATTTATTTATTATTCTTTCTATCTTTAGTTCAACTACAAAATTTAATTAACTCACCTTCTAGCTAGGGCATGTTTGTTGTTTGTTTGTAATTAAGCACAAAGCTACATAATAGGCTAACTGTACTCTGCACACCACGGGTATCGAAACTCGGATTCTAGCGTTGTAAGTACGCAGACATACCGCTGTGCCACTGGGTGCTATTGTTGGTTGTTAGTGATCTTAATTTGGTTTTTCTTTTCCCTATTTTTCTATTCATTGAAATTAATAACGTTCATTTTGCATTGTATTGTTTATTAAAGTTTGTATCAAATTCTGGCCAGATACGGATTTATTTATTTGTCATTATTATTATTATTATTATTTTGTAAATGATAAAATTTGTATTAGAACTGTTTGAATATATTATACAGAATACAGTTTAATACATTGTTTTTGTTTGACTCCGGTTGTAGCGACTGCGTTTTGTTTTAGTCTGTTACGGTATTTCGGGTAAATTGAATTATGTGGTAATTAAGAGATGAGATAACAGGGAAAAGTAGGCCTTTGTAATACTCGCAAAAACAAACCAAAAATTATACACTTTCAAATAAAAACAACTTTTTGTCTATTTCAACAATGACGAAATATGGAACTGATAGATTAACTACATCAGACAAATACGATCTCTATGGATAGCGACTTTTCTTTTGCGGGACAGATAAGCAATGGCGAGAAAAATAAGTCAATCATATTCGCGTGTTTCACCTTATGATTAATCAAGCGACATAATAAGCTAGCCTGGGCATCGGCAAGTAGTAACATACGTACGCGCTCTGCCTGGTTGATATGGTTTTTGGTATGGAGCGTTGTAGCTTCTGTCCCACGGCCCCAAGTGGTGATTTTAAGAGTATTTTGACGGTAACATTTGGTCTAAGAACGACTTTAAGAAACTAGGCCTACTACAGCTTTTTTAGAGAGTCACAATATGTTAAACCACCTTTAAGCATAGCTACCAGGCTAAATTGTATAGTATTGTTACGTCTCCGTTCGTTCGTTAATTTTCCATAAAAATTATTTCCGAAGAAACTTTACCGATAGAAGTCATTTCTTAAATAAAACTGGTTTATACTTTCTGAATATAACTTTGCGATACACTTAATTTCAACAGTCGCGCTATAACAAACGCTATAATTCTCAACGAACGTCTCACGTGCTCGACTCAACAATACTCAGTTCAATTACACACATTGTTGCCGTCACTTTGTGACAGTCTTATATATACAAGACTACACTATATCTAGAAGGATCCCGAGATTTAAGGAAGGGACGTGAATGTTCGAGAAGGACGTGGCGTGATACTAGTCACGTGACCTCCGCTGACGCAACACTGCCCCTCCTTAGTATTGTTCGTCCCGAACAATAGCCACTTACATTAAACCAATAAAAATTAACAATAACTTAATTAAATGTACAGAATTACAAACACAAAATTACAATTCAACAAAGTCTCTTAATTTTGCGGGACGTATCTTCTTCCGTACTGATAATAGTCACGTGACCTCTGCTGACGCAACAGTATATTCCATATCCAAAGAAATTATCCTTAACCTACTCTTACGAGCCACGTGATTTTTCAATAAAATAGACCGCATTATTTTTCATGGTAACTTCACTATTTCTTTTAATAACGTTTAAGCTCATATGTACTTGGGGTTTAAAGTACTCGCTATGTTAATATATGTTTTCGTGTCCACAATCTCATCTTCTCCGATGTTTTCGCCACCACTGTACCCACTCCGAGAAACATTTTGGCACCAGCTGATCACCTACTGAACCTCTATGTCATGTCCTTCCCAAATGACAATCCCGACCATGTCGAGATGCCGATGACCCCTCTTCCCTCATTTATCTATCCTGATTCATAATACTCGATTACCTGTTGCCAGTTCCCACACAATCTCCATTATATGATATAGACTGGTTAACGTTCACCCATATTTTTCCGGATGGTCTCCTCCATCTGAAAATATCGCATTTTCCCCATTTTCCACCTCCTGTGATGACTTGCACGCTTACCCATCTATTTTCATTTTATCCATTTTTCTGTCACAGCGAATGCATTACTCTGATTGGCTTATTTTTCTCGACATTGCTTATCTGTCGTGCAAAAAACATATAGTGGCCAGCCAGTGTGTAGAAACAGCAAGTTATAAGGAGGTCTAAGGTCTACAGTGGATGAGTTTGTAACGAACAACTAGCTTCCTTAAAATTATATCTATGTTCACACTCTATCACAATCCCCCAAAATACCAAGTTATCAATGTTGTATGTAGGCATACCATACAGTTTGTACCTTCTTACTTTAATGTAGGATTTAAACATATATATCATATGTACTTGCAATTTCACATATCACGTGGTCGAGAAAGTCGTTAAGTTGATTTCATTGTAACTACCTTTGTTTTCTGTCATTCCCTTGGATATAACACCTGGTCTGCCCATGGATGATATGTCTGTGATACTGCACATTCTGCATGAAGATCTATAGCAGTGTCCTTCAATGGTAGGTCAAAATATATCTCAAGGTTACAACATCTTTTATGTTTGATTGGGAATGGCCATGTATGTGACCAGCGCTAGTTGCTCTGGGTAAGTCTTAGTTACAAAGTTAACTAAGTAATGTGAGGTTTAGATACTCTGGAACATCATCTTAGGTGAATCGATTAGCTTAAAAGTAAATCTGTGGTTTCTTGTTGTTGTTTATTATTAAGCCCAAAGCTACACAAAGGGCTATCTGTGTTCTGCCCACCACGGGTATAGAAAAACAGTTTCTAGCGGTATAAGTCCGCAGATTGCCTTTGTGTCACCACTGTTAATACTGTTGCGTCAGCGAGGTCACGTGACTAGTGTCACGCCCCCTGCTTTCTGGAAATATCTTGTACCTTCGTGAATTGTCGGGAGATTACTAGATATAGGGTAGTCTGGTAGAAATAAGATG